GGCTGATCCCCTTCCACACAGCTTTCCCTGACAACCCCGGATGACGAACACACCTCAGCACCATCTCTTATTTATCACGTTCTTTCTAGCACTTATGAGTACACTTGTCTCTTTCATGTATATATACTCCTCCCTGTTTATTTTCTGGTTCCCGACGACGAGAGAGAGCAGAGAGACTTTATCAGTATTATTTATTCATTAACCTCTGACACACAGTAGATATCCAACATGAAAAATGTGAACATTGTAGTGCTGTTGATAAAATTAAACTATGTAATAAAAACTACCCAGCACATAGCAAGTACTAAATCAATGCCAGGTTCTCGCCCTTGGACGGGCTGGGAGAACGTCTGCTCTAAAATGAAGAAAGATGGTTTGGAAAGGAAGCAAAAATGGGGCAGTGGCCCCAGGCTGGGCTGGTTGAGCGCCCCAGGTCTAGCTCTCTGCCTGGAACCAGCGGATGCTTCCCGGTGTGTGTGTGTGTGTGTGTGTGTGTGTGTGTGTGTGTGTGAAGGCTACATTGTCATTTTGGATGGAAGTTTCAGGAAATTAGGTGTTTTTTTTTGTATGGAGGAAGAGATTTTATAAATAAGTGGACAGTTGTGATTTTGGAGAAATGCATCGGGATAAATACCTCACAGGGGCCTTACGGATTTTTTAGAAAAACTAAGGAGGGAAAAACAAGCACCATCACAGACTCCTAGAGGAGAGTGCCTGCTCCAGCCATTTAGGATTTTCACACATTTTTGACCACTCACGAGTTAACTCGTGTTTTCCTGCCCAAACGTTGCAGACCGCGTGTGAGTTAACTCGGGTTTGCACGTGCATTAGCTATTTCAGTTTTTGAAACTCAGGGTAATGTAGGATTATGCATTTGTGACTCTTCGCCCTGAGGTTTGAAGTTCGAAAAACAGCACACCGTTCTATATTCTTGAAGTAGCTAGGGAATGGGTATCTGCTGGTTCAAAGGAGTGCAGCTCAGAACCTGTCGTGCAGTTTGCCCAAAAACGTGCGGTCCCTGGTGTATGTCTTAGAGATTTCTATGCAGTACGCAATGTGTTAAGCTGTGAAGAAGGCTCCTCCCAGGAATAAATTATAATGAACAGAGATGGAGGATCCAGGTACCCCTGTTCCCCACCCTATTTCGGCTCATGTGCAATGGGGTTCCAGGGAAATTTGGGTCCGAAGGATTCTGATTTGAAAACCAAATTCTTGTCCACCTCTGCATTTTATGTGAGATGATGGAGGCCCCAAGGGTTTAACAGAAGAGCTGGGACACGTACCCTGCCCCTGACTGCCCGTGGGGGTGTTTTCGCTGCCCCATACTCAAAAGTAATGGGACTGGGAGTTTCACTGGCATATATGCTAAGCCTAACACTCCAGGGGCTCGAGGGCAAGGGAGCTGGACTCCAGGCTCCTGGGTGGCATATGACACCAAAGAAGGTTTCAGCAAGGCGGCACATACTCGATGATCTCAATCCCAAACCGACGGCTATGCAGCTTCCCGACTGTCTTGAATGGTTCCTACAGCGTGTGTCCTGAGAGGGGCTGGGCTGGGTCCTTCCCGCCCTCTGCTCTCAGGACCATGGCAGGGATCAGTCACTGCAGGCCCTGATGAACGTGGCGAAGAGACAGACAGGTAGAATCACATGATCGAGCAGTCCTGGGCTGACGGCTTTACCTAGAGGAGAACCTGATGCTGGAGACAGAATCTTCTCTAGTCTCAAATGCCCAAAGCTCCCTGGGGATGGGTGGGGATACGGAGCTTAGAGCACAGCTCAGAGAACTGAGGCCCGAGATCGACGCTGGCATTTTACTGTGTATTCAAAACTCAGGTGTTAGTTTTAAGGCTTAAGATTTCCCACCATATAGAATTTATATGAACATGCACAGAATGCACAAATATAAACATATGTGTAATTTATTAATGTTTATCAATAAATAGAATTTCTCAATTAAAAAAACAAGTCTGCAGGCTTCTGTTTTTCCCAGAACACATTCCTGGGAACTGCATCAAAAAAGTCTATCATCAGAAAGCCAGGAGCGATTCCCATAGACACAAATTCAACTTGAGGATCAAAGTTTCAGCTTCAAACAAGTCATCGGCATAACTAACAATTCCATCAAACCAAAGACACAGCCATCGTTACGATTTGTAAACCTCTGAAATTATATAATTAAGTTCCATGTTATATATAAGGGGCTCATATGTAATTTAAATGTTGATAACAAGGAGACTCGGGGCACTGTGACCCGTACACATGGCCCCACTTACAACTCGACTTTATTAAAAATGTAAAAAAAAATTAAGGTGCTAGCAAAATAACATTGAACTGTAAGTACTAATCATTCACACAGACTCATCATTAGTAAAAATCTCAAAAGTCATCTGTTTCTTAAAGGGGAGAAAAGGGGGGACATCTGTAATAGTGTCAACAATAAAAAAAAGTTATCTGGTCCAGTAGCTCAGCAGATTGTTTGTGTAACATTCTTGTCAGCTGCTCATTCATAGTCTATTCCATGTTTGAGGGTTTTTCTTTTTTCATAGAATTTATATATATATATATATGTAAAATTTATAGGATAGGGATCATTTTGATTACCCCTTTTCTCCAAACAAATGTTTTCATGGGAAAAAGGCATCTGAATTTATTCCATGTGACTTTAAAGTTACTTGAAGTTGGGCTCATTCTTACCAAAATCAGTCCCCGCCTCTCTCCAACCACTCCTTTATTTTGAGAACAAAATCCCATCAGATGAAGAGTTTGTGATGTATAAAGGTGCAATGCTGTATGATTTTCACAGCCCAGATTTAACCAAATGAGGGAAGGTGGATTTGGAAGAACAACCCCCAAAAAGGTGCCCCCTCAGCATTGTTTTTTCAAGATAGAAAACTCATCCTCTAAATCGGTTCACCTCTTGGTGAAGAAATTAGTCCTGGAGAACTCAGGAGCATCCAAAGCAATAATAAACACACAGAATGGCATTTTATGACTTACAGAATGTTTTCATAAAAATCGTTTGTCGCCACAACTTTGTGACATAGGCAGGAGAGATTACGAGTCCAGAGAGGTCTGGCTTTTGGTTCAGGGTCACACAGGAAGTCAGCCACTGATTCAGTGCCTGTGCTCACGGAGGTGGTGGGCAGCGTGGGTGGCCGTCAGAGCAGACAGTTTGGGTCTGATTACCAGGTTCACAGCCTTGGGACTCATGACCGTACTGCTCCATCCTTTGCATTAGAAAAGGACCATCCTCAAAATGGTCCTAAGTCCCAATGTAGTAAAAGCAGAAGACAGTAACTTGAAAAACCAAAGGGCGTTGGTCTAGCAAATCAAGGTGCAAGGTAGGACTTAAACTTCATGTGTGACGAGAATAGATCCCCAGCTGAATCTGCTCCATGGACCACCGAGAGTCCCAGCCTCACACAGAGCATTTCAGCATGGTGCAGTATTTCTCAACAACACTCAGGAGTTTTAAAGAACATTTCTCATGAGAGACTCTTCCCTTTCCCTAAGGCATGACTATTTCCCCAGTAAAATTAAGTCTTCACAGGACAGAATTTTTTTTTGCATTTGGACGGTTTGGGGGCAATCTCCTCTTCCTCATTCCAAAGTCTCTTTCCTGTCTGGTTCAATTCCAGGACTAAAGTAAACATCAACAGAAATGGTAATGAACACATTTTAAGCAGCGGGAACAAAGTGAGTTTGACAGAGTCCTGAGATGCTATCAAATCACAGCCAAGATCAAAGTTAAACTCCCCATGGCTCTGGGACGCTATGGCCTTGACTTCTTTGAGACCTTCGCTCTGGGGCAGGTGGCAAGGGCCATGGACTCAGCTTTGAATGAAAGACATCCAGGTGAATCGGAAGGGCAAAACTGGCAAGGTCAAAGGTCTAGAAGGTCCAAAGGAGGCGGTTAGTTTCTTTGAAACAGACAAAAGGTAGGCGGGCCGTGGCTTTTCGAGGTAGCAGATGGCTGTAGCTGCATCCTGTTGTCCTGGAAACGGAGAGGAATCTTAAGAGATCCCCTAGTCCAAGCTTCAATGACAGTTGTAGAAAGTGAGGTCCAGGGATGGAAGGGTTGGATCAAGGTCTCACAGCCTGCTAGGAGCAGAGCCACGGCTGGAAGTCAAGCGCTGGTTTTGCATCCCCGGCACTGCTTGGTCCCGCCTCCTCCACCGGGGACCGCAGTGAGGACGGGCTCAGCAGTGCGCTCCCAACAGTTCTCTCCTTTGAGAGCAACATGGCCAGAATCCAGGGTTGCAAACTGGTGCGTGGGCCTCACCACGAGCTCACGGGACAGATTCCGAAGTCTCTGAATACACACAGCGATGCCACCAGCCCTGCCCAAGGCTCCTTAGGACAAGACGCTGCTCTAGTTGCAGAGCAAGGCGGGCACCCCGGAGCAGAAGCGGCTGAGGCCACGGTACCGGGACCGGCTGTCTGTTTCTGGCTGCCCTCCCAGTGCTGCGGAGACCGTTTTCCTCGGGTAGATTGCCCAGTGCCTTCCATGGTAAGTGAACGGAGCATGTCCTAAAGAGAACTGACACCAACATAAGGCAGAGCAGTGAAGTCCGCGACTGACACGTGGACTGGCCAGGAGGACACACATTCAGACCCGACAGCAGGAGGAAAGTGTACTAGTGTCTGGCACAGAACAGGACAAGATGAGACAGTGAGTAGTTTGAACATGGCTATGACGGACGCAAACAAGGAAGAAATGTGTGCTTTGGAACACGATTCTGACCAACAGGCACGAGGGCGGGGGGTGTTGTGATAACACTGGTCTGTGAGCAGGCACAGCGAAGAGGGCGACACCGAAGGCTGAGATAGGACACAGTGAGTGATCGTGTTTGGAACACAAGTCAGACCAACCAGGCATGGTAAAGGGACAGACTGGGGACAACAGACAGTGTGAGGCAAGGGCGAGATGCCAGAGAGAAGAAGTTCTGGGAAATACAAAAATCCCTTCACGGGGGGTATCTCTGGAGGAGAACCCCCAGTGAACAAGGGGACCGTTCTCCCCCCTGACGCCCTCAAATGCTGCCTGCTGGAATCCTGGAGGAAAAGCCCGCTGGGCATGGGGTGCCTGCCCCGACGGACGGACGGACAGACGGCTCGAGTGAAGAGAATACCAGGTGCAGTCACGCACAAGCAGCAGCTTAGGACCTGGCCCTCTCTCGGAGGGATGGCTGTCTTCTGAGTCACTGCCCCGGGGACTAAGTGTCACTGGGCTGAGCAGCCATCAAAGGAGACGTTGCTGGGGGGTGGCACTGACTCTCCCATTGGCCACCACACTCCACTGCATCCCTGGAGAGGGGAGAAGACCATAGACCTCAGAGTTGGAACGGACGTCACAGAGGATCTCGGCAAAGAGCCCACCCAGTGCAGGAACGCCCCCGTGCATCCAGACGCATGGTTGCTTAGCCCCCACGCAGGACTCTCCAGGGACTAACCAGCAACTTGACTAAAAGAGCCTGCCATTGTTATTAGCAAGAGTTTATTAATGTTCAGCTGAGACCTGTCTTCCTAGTGCCCTCCAGGCACACTTAAAATTCTTCCCTCTGCTAATTATATCTTCTAAGTTTTCTCTCTCCAGGCTACACATTTCCCTAATAGTTCATAGTATATTATGGCTTCCAGAATAGGCCCACAATGAACACTGTGCTCTGAACAGAACCCTTACTTTATGATTCTCTCTCTTTGAAACAAGGTTCCAGGAAAGAGCACGAACTGGCACAGTGGACCTGATACACCCTGCACTTCTCGCTATCAGTTTAGCTGACTTCCATGAATACAGTCAACACTGAGTCTGTTTCTGACCACGGTAATATGCTCTTGGCTTATACTGAGTTTGTTGCCCACTTGTATGTTTTTGATACAAACAGTTGTCCATGCCTGTGGTGCTTCATTACGTGGGTGCAGTTTATGCTGTTTGTTTGTTTGAGCCAAAATACAGGACATTACATTTGTCTCCGTTAAATGTCACTTTATTGATTTGGTGTCATTTTAGCTGATAGAGATCATTCATTCTACATCATAACAATTTCAACATTCAAGATGTGATTATTTAGCACTGACTCCAACTAGACTTTCAGGACTTTACAAGCCTATAGGAAGGTCAGGAAATTTATTGCTGCCTAGATCTTTCAGGGTAGTGTCATCTGCCTTTTAGGCGAAGATAAGAAACTACTGATAAGGACAGGGCTAGCACAGAGAACTGTGGCACCACCACTGACTGAGAATGGACCCACCCATCGAAGACTTTGTCCAAGACCTTGCTGAAATGTCTCTGCCAAGCAGTACATAAATCTGTCCTAATAGATAATAAAATTCATTGGCACGATTTATTTTTAATGAGACAACAAATGATTTGTGTTATAACTGTCCTAGAACTTTGGTAATGTCTATTTCAAGCTATGAGCCCGTAGTTTCCTGAGTCTAGCTTTAGCATGTCTTTAACAACTGGGTCAATATTTACTGGTCTCCAGGCTGCCATCATTTCCCCAGGCTTCTAAAGAGCATCAATCAGAGGTCTTATCAACCAGTTCCTTTAATTCCCCTGAGATATAATATGCTTTGGCTCAGAGACAGTTAAATGTTTTCCATCAATCCTGGACAGCAACTTTCTCCCTATAATGTTCTCTCTTGTCCAGTTGGAAGACTGTTCTTATTGTAGCAGAACATGCAAGATTTCTTCCTTAAATGATGAGATCACTTGCTCTCAACATAGCTTTTGATTCATCCTCGGCTATACATTCCTCTTCCGGATTTTCTACCTGCTGTTTTCAAGTGTAAATTTACTATATAACTCAAGATGCAGCCTCATGCCTTTACATATCACCCCTCCCTGGCATTTTTATCTGTCTCACTCATTGAACATATCTATTAAAAGAAAAAAAGTGAATAGAAAGAAAGCAGGCAAGGAAGGAAGGGTTTCTCATTTATCATTGGCCAAACTCCCTTTGCATAATACTTATCTACTGTCATTCTTATCAACAATAAACAACCACTCATTAGGGCAGTACCTGTGTGTTATGCATTAATGTATTTTAGACCTCTTTAACAGACAAGGAAACAGTTTCAGAGAGTTTAAATAATTTGCCCAAATTTACGCAGTTAATAAATGGTGGGATCAGATCTTACATTTTTAGGTCATTTAAAAAAATATTTTAATTGATATTTTAGAGAGAGAGGAACAGAAAGAGAGATAAAAACATCGATGTGAGAGAAAAACATTGATCAGCCACCTCCTGCACACCCCCTACTGGGGATTGAGCCTGCAACCCAGGCATGTGCCCTGACCGGGAATGAAATCGGGATCTCTCAGTCCATGGGACGACACTCAATCCACTGAGCCACACTGGCCAGGCATAGGTCATTTTTGATACCAAAGTCTGTGCTCTTAATTGTCCTGATATATTGTTACTCATCATCTTGAGACTTACCACTGCTCAGTCCTGTGCTCAGATGCTCCTGTCTCTAACATTTTCATGTTCCACTATGATGGACTCAAGGGTAAAAGGAATATGTACAGGGGCACAGATTCATTCCACCTATAGGAAGCCTACAGTGTGATATGCATCCCCCTCCCCTGAAACACAGTGTGACTGAGACCTTAACACAGGACCCTCCTGCAGCGCCCCCTGTCCTCTACTGGAGGGTCTTTCCCAAGTGGTATGTGTGTTTCCTGTGATGTGGAACTGGGAGGCTGGGTGAACAGGAAAACAACGCTGCTAAGGCAGGAGGAAACCATGGAGGACAGAGTCAGAGAAAAGGGCCATGTTAATAAAACTAACAAAGAATGGGAGAGAGGGTGGAAGACAAGGAAGAGCCACAGGGGGTATATAGACGGCTCCAGAGCTGTTGGGGAAATGGAGGAGGTCCTTTGAGAAGTGTTTCCAAAAGGTCAGGTTGGCTGTCTCACGTCATCTCGCCAGATACAAATAAAGACAGACATAAACGACAGTATGGTGATTACCAGAGGGAGCGGGGGCAGGTAGAGGAAGGTAAAGGGGGGATAAGTGGTGATAGAAGGAGACTTGACTTGGGGTGATGAGCACACAATACAATATACAGATGATGTATTACAGAATTGTACTCTTGAAACCTATATAATTTTATTAACCAAGGTCACCCTAATAAATTCAGTAAAAATTTTCAAGTTTATGCATGATAAATAAGCAAAAATATAATATAACGAAGGCTTTTCATGATCTACCAAAAAAAAAAAACGAAAAAAAAGATTGAGATTACTGGGGACTTGCTAATGGATGGGATGCCTGGTATCGCTGCTTTGTATTCAGGACACATCAAAGAGAGGGGTCCTGGAGAAAGGACAGTGGCCCAGCCTCTAACTCCACGGAGAGCTTGCAACCAGCTCCCTCTAGGCAGGGCAGACGGGGAGATGAGAATAACGGCAGGGTGGTCTCGTGTCCTGGTTGGCCCAAGTCATTCTCAGTTTACTCTATTGAGCCAATCTAATTGTTAACACTTAACAGTTCAATGTCATCTGCCTTTTAGGTCTTCATTCAAGATACAAAATTATGACCCAATATGCTGCACCCCAAGAGATCCCTTTCCAGTACAATAGGTCTGTACACGTAATGTGAGCAGTCACCAGGAGACAGGAACCTGGGTTCTAATGCCTTGTTAGCCTCCCTCCATGCGTGACTCTGATGACTTCGTCCCTTTCCTGTGCCTCCCTTGCCCAGTTTTTAAATGAGGAGGAGGATTCGCTATAAGATCCTTTGCAGCTCTGACATTCTGATTGTATGAGTAGCAGAGATGGTGGGTGACAGATACAGACCTCCTGATTGGGCACCAGCTGTGTGTGGGCCTGTTCTCCAAAGCTGTGGGTAATTGCTTCAAATCTGGCTTTTAATATTATTCTATTGTTAGTATCTGATCCTTTCTATTCTGTGTGGAGGGAAGAGGTTTCACTGGAAACACAAGGGGGTGTAATTTTTGGATTTGTATTAGAGGATCTGAAAGACCTCAATTTCTGAATCTGTGAAATTACACTGCAAAGCTGGTAAGTGTATCTGGGTAGGATGGAATAGGGGCTGAGATGCCACAACTTAAAATGCAGCGAGATCACAACTGTCTCTCCTTGAACATATGCTTGATCGGAAACATTGGCAGAGTTGCACAAAATCCCTGATGCAAAACGTCATTAAAAAAGAATCTCCAATATTTTACCAGAAACGTTTTTTAAAATACAGCTTCTTGTTTTAATATCTTTATAAAAATCCTCTACAATTTATGAAGCATTTGTATATATTTTCCCATATTTGATCTTCAACACAAATTGGTAAAGAAGGTGGGTATTATGATAATTTCAGGAGAAGTAGGTCAATGTATGGGGCATGGATTGATTGATGAGTAGTGGTGGGTCCAGTGTGTAAATCAGGCATTCTGCCTCCCAAACCTGGAATTTTGTCCGTTGGGAAGCATGGAAATCATTTTGTGGTGGGAAGAGTTTTATGATAAAGTTTAATATTAACATTTGATGAAATCGACTTATCATTACCTGTGTTCCAGAAGAAGAAGAAAGAGAAGGAGGAACTGGAGGAGGAGGAGGAGGAAGAGGAGGGAAAGAATCACTAGCTGAGTCATCTTGCACAGAGTGGTCCAGAAACTATGTATATCAGAATTATCGTGGGTACTTGTAACAAACACAGATTCTCAGGATCCACACCAGACTTCTGACAGCAGGGTAGGAAGAGGGCAGAGGGAAAGTAGGGAGAGCAGAAATTTTCACTTTTTAAAAGGTGTTCTCAGGTGATTCTTATGCATGTGGGAAGAGGATATTCCCCGAACAGGTGGATATACACCTATTCCTACTCATCCAGGAAATAGCTTGGAACCAGAGCCTTTGGTGGCAGCGAAGAGCAGGGCAGGAGAGCGGGAAGGGCCAAAGCTGGAAACATGAGGCGCTCAGTGATGCTTCATCAGGGATCAGAATGGACGCGTTGAAACACACGCCAACAGTGCAGTTTAGCAAAGTGGATGAGGGGATGTTTACTGGTTTCGTGACATCAACAATGAAGAAATGAGCAAAGACTTGGTGATGAATCACAAATATGAGAAGGCAAAAAAAAAAAAAAATGTACAGAGAAGCACAAGCAATATATTTTTAGGTGTTCTTTATGTGATGAAAAAATAGAGTGTTTGGGTGCAAGGAGCTGATAGAAACTAATTGAATTGTCTATAAACAGTGAGCACACACACTAAGTTACGAGGAAATTACATTACTCCAAAGGCAATGCCTTAGATCAACGTCTTTGTTTTAGATTCACATGGGATGT